TGAAAAATATATTATAAATAAAAATATATCACCTTCAAATGTAACCTTACTTTATGTAACGGATAAAGTACAACACACGTGTAGTAACGTGTAGTAAAAGTAATCGCTAATACGAATATTAATAATAACAAAAAAAAAATTGTTTTTTCGAATTGGCACCACGTGTAGCCCAGACGCCGTCACAAGCAGTTACATGCTGCAATTTATAATTAATGAATATTTGTAGGCTTTTCAATTGCTTATCAATTTGAAATCAACGCTAATTTAATGCATTAAATAACTATTAAAAAAAATATGTAGTTCAACTTCCACAGCACCGAAGCTATAGTATCCTACACAGTTGCGTTTTTATAGCCTGAAAGGGTATATATAAAAAGTGCTTTAACATAATTTTTATCGTGCCGTTTGTATGGTAGGTATGTGCTATCGTGATCCGATCTGAACAATTTCTATAAAGATTGTAGAGTTGCTTTGTTTAAGAATTTATATCAAATTTCGTGATGATATCTCTTCAAATAGAAAAGTTTTCCGTACACGGACTTGAGTTGGAGTGATCGATTTGTATGGCAGCTATATGATATAGTAGTTCGATCTGAATAATTTCTACGGAGATTGTATATGTGCTTTGACTAARAATTTTTGCCAAATCTCGTGATGGTATCTCTTCAAATGAAACAGTTTTCCAATGCGACCGACCCGAACGAAGATTGCATAAATGCCTTGGCTAATACTTTATAYCAAATTTCGTGATGATATCTCTTTAAATAAAAAAGTTCTCCATACAAAAATATGAGTTATAGTGGTCAGTCTGTATGGTGACTATACGCTATGGTTATCCGATGCAGAAAAATTTCCCAGCTTTTAAAGCCTTGCTGCAGAAAATAATCCATATCCAATGTCGTGATGTCGATAAATGAGAAAGTTTTTCATTGATCGTAAGGCCTTAAAACTTTCAAGTCAATACTGCTTCAGACGTCACCAGCAAAGAGCTTGTTCTACAACACAAGTGTTCGAAAATATTCGCCAAAACACCAATGACAATGACTAATCTTTAACTAAACCATAATCTATTTGAACTTTCAGTTTACGTTTAAATACAAAAATTATCAGTTCTTACTAATTTTCACAACTATAAAAATATTTATTTAATTTAAGACTTCTCGCTTATCACTAGGTAAACAATTGTCTGTCGCTGCGCTGTTACATAGGTGCGGGTGAATGTTCACTTTACTGATGTGGCTGCGAAGGCACGTAATCCAGCACACATACACATATAAATAAATATTTATGTAAGTACATATGTATACTTTTTATACAAAAAATTGCTTTAAATAATAATTTAACTAAAAAATAATAACAATTAATGAAGTTAGCTGGCTTTTAAGGGATTACTATTGTTTTACTGTTATTTATTTAATTTTTTATTAAGCTTGCGATAACAGTTAATGACCGTATTTACAATTAAAATAGGTAGTATGCAAACATATGAGTGTATAGCAAGTATGCACGTATGCATGTGTATGGTGTTKGGGTCTTCTAATCTTGCTTTTGTATACCAACCGACGTCACTTGTTTACGAAAATTCGCCAAAAAATTCTACACTATCACAAAATAGGAATTTATTTTTTACTATCGACCGAAATGTCGTCTGATGTGAAGGCGGTGGCGAACGCCGGCGTCGTCGATCAGCGCACGACCACGTTTTGCGAATTAATCAACGCATGTCTGCAGGCATAAAGTCTGGCAAATTCTATGCTAAGTCTTATGCTGAGGTATATTTGCATTTAAAGCGACATATATACATACATATGAACARAGAAACGTAAAATTATGTACGTATGTATGTAAGGCACAGTGGATTTTTATCTAATTTATGTGTATTTGTGTGTGCTATTTTGTGAYTCGTCAACTWTATATTGTGACAAAAGAGAACCCGKAAATTGTAATTTAAATTGTTTGAGTAAATGATATTTCACTGGTCATTGTTTTTTTCGATATTCGTGATTTAGTGCTGGAGGAATAAGGAGTTAATTCGGCCGTATTGAGGCTTTCGC